CACACACACACACACACACACACACACACACACACACGCACACGCACACGCACGCTTCAATTAGTCAGTAAGAACAAATGATTGCACTAACACTTGCTGAAATCTGGTCAGGCTCTCAGTTCCTTCCCTTTGAGCTCTTGGTGACAACACAACGACTCATCTCGCAGATCCACCAATAAAAAGTTTGTTCCTCTCCTCCTCCACTTCCTCAGTCATTCAGAGGCGGTCTAAAACAGGCACTGGGGCCGTTTGTTTTTATGTCTTTTTTTTTTTTCTCATGTCTTTCAGCAGAATAATACACTTGCTCCAAACAGAATAGTCACACCTTATTCCCTGGCTGCATCCCTGGAAACCCGGTGTTTCAAAATACTGGATTCTTTCAACATCAGACAGCTTAATAAGCTGGTCCGATCCCCCTGCTGCCAGGTTTCATACACTGGCTCTTCACATTCTGGGTCTAAGAGAGAGAAATGTTTCTTTATCTGGAAATGTATCATAATCATATTCCACGTCTCCAGGGTATTTGAAACAATAACATTATTCTGAACTTTTTGACTGGATTTTTTTTTTCTTTTACTCTAAGAATATTTTGTAGAGTTTGTAAATGTAATGATTTTATTTATTTGTTTGTTTTTGTAAGACAACCAAGTAACAAGACGATCCCAATCAGTGTGGATGATTACGGTGATAAATTTGGAACAGTCTAGGAAGTAATTATCTTCCTGGGAAGTAGATCACAAGAGAGTCTCTCTTTCCTATTTTCTTGATATAAACATGGGTTCATTAAAAATGTTTAAACATCACCTCAGCTGCTCCAGCTGATTTGATATATGATGACTATTATTTTCCACCAAGGAGATGAAATTCAGGACCACTAGTCTCCAAATACTTTCTGGTTGAATCTAATGAGGAATTTTCAGCCGACTGCTTTTGCCGTCTTACATAGACTAGGACAGACATATTGATTGTCGGTGCTTTTAAAAATAATCCAACCTGTCTCATGTGCCTTAATACAGTAGGAGGGTGACTCATGATTAGCCCTAGAGAGCTGACATAAAAAGCCTTTCTGTTTGCACTGTAATTCAGAGCCATCGTCCCCACGCACACCCAACATGACCAGTCTACACATCACTGTGATTAACTGAGTTGGCCTGCAATCTGCCCGAGTACAAACAACACAAAGGAGAAGACTGTCACCCAGATGAAAAGAGGCTCAGATTACATACTTATCACAGAGTGACGCATTTAGACGTTCCCTTTCTGGCACTGGTCCTAATAGGTCCTTTTTGTTGGCCTGATCAGATGTTAGGGATGATTTTAACACATTTTCTGTGTTCATCAATCTCATACTTTATATATGACTAATTTAGGCTAGAGTTTTGGCAGCCCCCCTTATTACCTGAGTCTCCTGTCTCTCCAGCCCATGCGACCCCTGAAAGCAACAGCCACGACCTCTCAGCCTGTCCTGACCATCCAGCAGGTAGAGACCATCTTCTACAAAATCCAGGACATCTTCGAGATCCACAAAGAGTTCTACGACGCCCTCCTACCCAGCATCCAGCAGTGGGACGAGAAGGTCACCGTGGGACATTTGTTCCAGAAGCTGGTGAGTCTGATGTGGGTGACACAAATGACAGTGTGCGGATCTTTTATTTCGCTCGCCGTCATTTGCAGGGTACATGTAAATGGCTGTTAAACGGAGAATTGTCAGGCTTCTCACTGTTTGTACTTTGTGAATCACTTGTCTGAATTAGACTCAGTGTGCGTAAGTGACTGACGCGTGCCCCCGCGACTGTGGCCTGGGCACATTAGCAGAAAAGTTGCAGCTTCTGAACTATCACGCTGTCATACTTGCAGTGGATTAAACAGGTGCTTTCAGTACATAATGGAACAGCGGCACTGTAACGTGCATGTAAATGTGCCTGTGTGTGGAATTAGACGGTTTCCAGGCCTCGGCTCGTCACTAAGTGGGTTAGAGCGGTGTAATGTCAGATTTGCAGTGGATAATGTGATTTGAAGAGACGCATAACGCCGCGTATGTATGTATGCTGGACAATGTTTTCTTGGTGGAATAAAATTAATCTGTATATAAGGTGTGAAAAGGCTGAGGCACCCGTCAGTAATTATTTAGTTGGGTGGACCAGTTTTAATGTTTTGGGAACACAAGCTGTGGAGTGGCTGGTGTCATTGAAATATACACCTGCACAGTTTGTACCGATCCTTCATTGTGAGTGTACAGACAGGTGGTAACACTGTGGTTTGTAATTTTCCTTGACTGGAAACTCTGCGAGAGCACCAACTGTCTTTAGAAAAGCGGGAGCAGAAAGCTTTAAGTTTATTTTAGCTGCTGGTAACAACAGGGCTTTGCTCTAACGCTGGGAGCCTTGGACACAAGAAGTCAACAAAACCAAGTATATACTGGAGCCTGCTTTTTAGTCCTGTTACTGTAATACAGCCTCATTTTAGACTGCGATCAGTCATTACGTATCAGCATCAGAGGTCAAGTTTTCTGAAAATCTACTGAAAACAAAGATGTGACATAAGGTTTTAAAAGTGGTACCATGGATGCAGCTGCTAAAAATCTTGGTCAAGTTTGAATCCCGGTGACCTTAATCTTAATGTCAGAGGTCAACTTTTCAGAAAATCACCTAGGATTTTTAAATTTATACCATCGGTGCATCTACTAGAAAGAGGTTAATTCATTAAGATCCGATGTGTGATTTAAGAGTTCCTTTAACGTTCTTGATCAGTGTATATATATACGTATGCGTTTATCACACTGTTGAATGTATGTGTTCACATACCAGCCCCTTTGGTTTCACACCACAGAAGTGAGAACGTCGTTTTCCTTATGTTTTCATGGTGTCATTTTGAGGAACCTGGTAAGGTCATTCTAATTAAAAACACAGCTCTTTAGGGAGTAGATCTCATTTTCAGTTTTGGTTTTCAGGTACTTTTTGATGCAAGCAACTGTTATTCACCATGACTTAGTCAGACGTGTGAAACTCAGCGTTTGTTTGTGATGAAGAAAACGTTAAATAGACTTTTTACTTCGCCCATGTATAGGACATTTTTAAAGCTTGGATATTAATAATAATATTTCATTAACAGCTTGATGTTTATCTTTATGATTAAAACATTTGATGAAGCACTTTAATTAATAAGAGGAAATGATGAATATTCAGACATGAAGTATGTTGGTGTTAGTGAAAGATTTAACAGGAGAGAAAATGAGCACAGTTTTGATACAGTTGTTTAAACTCCTATGAGTTTAAGTACTTCTATTCAACAGACCCCTCCTCACTGTGGACGGCCAGCGCTAAGCGGCACCTATTAGTGTAGTCATCAGCTCCCATCTGTGGTGTGTATTTGTGCGTACATGAATATGTCGTGTTTCAGCAAAACATTAGTCAGAGTGGCTGTGTGAGAGTGCAGATGGCAGTTTAATTAGCTGGTCTGCTCCCTGCTGCTCCTCGTCAGCAGTATGGAGCAACAAGGACAGGCAGGGTTACAGAAAACAGGCCGAGACGGGGATAAAGACCTGCTACAGGTCCAAGTTTGTTTTTCACTTTTCTCAGATGAGAGAAAGGCTTAGCTATAGCCTGTGTCTGCAAGGGATGCAATTGTCTGAGCGAATTATTATAGTCCTAGTCGCTCTAGAGGCACAAAGTAGGAGAGGTTCAATTTACTGTGGATGTGGTGCTGATAAAAACAGTACCACAACTCCATCTTTTACACAGTAGTCACATAATAATGTTTTTAATCATATATTTGCTGATGGATTTTAGTAGCTGGTTATTTTCACAGCAACTGAAGCTTACTCAAATTCAGCACAGGCATTAAGTATTGCAGCCAGGCTCAGTTGTAATAGCTTTAGAGAATTTAAATTAAGCCTAATCGAAATTTGAGCAAACCTGAAAAAATACTAGCAAAGCTAGTTTCCCCATTATGTTGGGCGTTCACCCTCGTGTTTAACACCTCAGACAATATCAAAGATGTACCTGTCTAACATGGTTTCACCTGATGTTTTTAAAGTCCCAATTTGTAAAACCTCAAGTTAGTGTTTCTGCCATCACTTTCTTGGCTGCAAAAAAAACTGGGTGTAACAAAGTGCAAGTTTAACTGTGAAACCACATGCTAATGACGTGTGATTGATAACTCGTTAGCCAATGAGCGTGCGGTTTCATACCACAAGTATTCTTCTATTTTAAAACATGGTACGACCAAGATTTTCAATTCAGACTTGAGTTATTTATCATATTTATTACTTATAATATTACTTGATGGTGTATTTCTTTCTTTCAGCATGACTTAAAATGAGTGACTGAGTCCTTAAATTCACCAGAAAATTTACAGATATCAAGACAGAAATATGCTTTGCTATAGATTTCTATGGGACCAGAAATCTTTTTTTTTTTTTTTTCTTCAACCATAGATATCACCATGCGATATCCTCAGATAGAAAACAAGTCTAAGATAATTTTGGATTTACTTAATTCTTCTGACCAGGAAGCTACATGCAAGTTTTATACTGCTTGTTGCTAGCATGCTAATTGAGATTTATGAATGTAACTAAGGTTTTGTGAATTTTGGATGAACGTCTCTTGCAGTCAGGAATAATAGAATAAAACTATGAAGGCAAACGTGGTAAACACTAGAACAGCTTTAGATCAGGCAGATAAGTATTTTACCATTGTCAGTAGTAGACTTTAGCATGCTAACACTCTTATCATTTTGTAGAGTAGTAGCATTAGCATACTATTAGCATTAAGTATACCTTCATAGGTTTTTTTTCTTCTTGTCCTTAGACTTATTTCTACATTATTATAATTTATTTAGGAAAGAATAGTAAGAAGAGGGTAATACAGTGTTGGCTACCGATACCTTAAAGAAAGTAGACAAAACTTATACAATTGCTAGATAATTAGAATTTTTTACGTGAGGTTTGAATATGAGACAAACACTGATTTCTAGGGGAAAATGTCTATTCCCCAACTGGTTGTTAGTGCTTTGTGGAGGTTATTTGCTCTCCATGGGTGAAATCTGTTAGAAAGAAGATGCCGTACCAAAAACTTCCAAGTAATTGCTTTGGTTGTAAGCAGTTCCCTTTAGTTTTTCATGTCTGTCTGCAAATACTTGCTAACTTCTAGCCGAGCAGTAGTGAAATGTGAAGAAATGCCTCAGCGCCATAGCAAACATGTTTCAAAAAGTGCAACTTTTATTTTGGAGGAAAACTTTCTCCATCGTGGCTCAACAGTTGGCAGTTAGTCTTGTAATCGAAAGGTTGCTGGTTCAGCCCGGCTCAGACAGTGTCGGTCGTTGTGTCCTTGGGCAAGACACTTCACCTACCGCCTACTGGTGATGGCCAGAGGGGCCGATGGCGCGATATGGCAGCCTCGCTTCTGTCAGTGGCTACAACTGTACCTGCTTTCACCAGTGTGTGAATGTGAGAGTGAATGAATAGTGGAATTGTAAAGCGCTTTGAGGGTCTCGAAAAGCGCTATATAAATGCAATCTATTATTATTATTATTATTATTAATTTGCATCACTTTTCACAGTTTTATTGCAGCTCAGAGAGTAGCTGGACAGTGTTTGAGGACAAGTCCAATCACACTATGAACCCAGTGACCAAAGCAGTCACTTTAATTGAGAAAAAGGTGGTCGACTGGGGGGGTCACTGGCTGGTTGGCTTTAGGACTTTAGACCAGTCATTTCCCCAGCGACTACATCGACCTCTAGCAAGTGCTCCCAACTGGTTGGGGAATACCCATTTCTAGGCCTGTGTGGCTGGTGCCTTATTCACATGATTCTACAGTGTCACCACGATTGTCACAAAATGGCAGCCAACTTAATGCCATGTGGTTTGTGGTCACGTGTTAGCAAAACCTCAAAAGTGGTTGCACCATTTTAGTGTGAGTGTTGTGGCTGACTTGATGGTACTCTGCACACACCTGTGCACAACTGTCTGAAGAAGGAAGATTTTATCTTGGCGATAGAGGAAACTGTGGGCCACTGTAGAAAACGGAGGACGTTGCACATATTGATGGACAATCTAATTGTGGAGTTGGGATTTTTAAACATAAAGAAAAAAGGTCTGCAAGCAGTGTGCTCGTATTTGGCATTGTTTGGAAAAGAACAAGACATATTGTTTGGTTACTGATGTCATATAATAAAGTTTTCATTCACTACATATGGTTCTTTTGCTGCTGTTGATCTTTGTTGCTTATAGCTGATCACTTGCTGTGCTTTAAAAGAGTGGCGAGTGCTCTGAAAAGATTCACTACAGTGTTTAGTTGAGGGTTCGTGTTGCTCTCAAAGCTGCATGCAATTTTTAAAAAAGGCACCTCTAAGCTGGCAAACGTGTCCATGTGGGTTTAAATAGTCCGTAGGCTCTTCTACCAGCTGAAAAGTCTCTCTCCTGTGTTTCTTCATGTTCTACTTCCCACGTTCACTTTCAAACACGACCTGTTGTTTTCTGTCCTGCCACTTTGACCTGTGATTTTTGTTTTCTAAAGCGTGGGCGTTTTGTCTGGACTGTGACTGACACCGCTTTCATACTGAACTCATGAAATCTCATAACGTCATTCTGCTTGGTTTGTTCTTTCCAGCCAAGCTGCCAAATCTCCATCTTTGGAAATTCAGCTATGACACACCGTGGTTTCGCTTTTCCATCCACAGTTTTGGTTTGACATAAAATAGGCTCCAGTTATAAATAGACGATCCACACGTGGTGACATTTGTTTCACTCATCTGTAGTCAGTGTCACACATTACGTGGTTTGACGGTTTTGTCACATCACATATTTGTGTCCTGATGTTTCCCTCCATCGATTGTTGCTATAACATGTTTCAAATGCCGCATGAGGCCGCACACTTCCCTCACGTCTTTGCTTTTGAGCCCAACTTTCTACTTCTCACTCCGAAGGGAAGAGGAAGGAGAGGAAATGAAAATAAGAGGACATGGAGTTTAAGGACAAAAGTCTTACTCATGCACTCTATTCAGCTGAATCCAATCTCATTGCTTTAATAGGATGCAGTCAGCTCTTCAGCCTAGGCATTCAAGCATAGCTGTAGCAGGATGCATATTCATGCACTGCTGGTCTGCAGCTTGTGTTACAATGCACATACAGTGCTGCAGAGAGGGGCTGTTAATGAAAGAGAAGAGGATAGAGAGGGACTCAATCAGGAGGGACTGCAAAGTGCTGCTAGTGAAGTGGCTTTATGGGAATGTGATCAGACTATATGTGTTGACTCAATGAATTTAAATTGAATTGGAAGTGATCATTTAAGGTGAATGCAAAGTAGGGCTTGCTGAATTTTATTTTAGTTGCCATCAGTGCAATGACATACTTGTGTTGACTTCCCGAGTCTCCGGAGTTCATTTAACAATATGAATAAAATGAGAGAAGACTAAACGCCATCATCGTTGTCTTAGTTTGCCTCACACCTTCTCGTTGTTGTTTCCTGAACGTCTTTGCTTCTGCTTTCCTTCAGGCCAGCCAGCTGGGCGTGTACAAGGCCTTTGTGGACAACTACAAGGTGGCGCTGGAGACGGCAGAGAAATGCAGCCAAGCCAACAGCCAGTTCCAGAAGATATCTGAGGTGAGTTCAGCCTCCATGATCTTAAACAACGTGTAACAAGAGAACTTTTAAATAGCAAACATGTCATTTTGTTGCTATGTACTGCATTTTAACATCAGCATATCAAACTTGGCGCAGTAATAATACGGATCCATCAAACCTCCCCTTCACTGGTCTCAAGGGTCTTAAGCCATTATATGAATTCTCTTCAGTGAAGAGAACAGGAGAACAAATAGATGACGACACAAACCAGGCGAGTCGAAACGTCCTCTTTTTGGCAGGAAACAGCAGTGTTTATGGGAAATGTGGTCTTATTTTGAGGAACTGTTGTTGAAAACACAGTTAAGAGGTATTTGTGTTCAAATGTGCTTGGGACAGCACTTAGCCAGCAAGTGTATTAGGTAACAGAACGATGAGAGGTTACATTCACAGAAAAAACATCCAGGCTAGTCTGAGTTTACTGTACAGTACGACTACACGCACTTGAAGCGCAGAGAATATTTTGAGCGTTCAGAACAAAAGAGTATGTGTATTTGGGGATTGCTGGGAAGGTGTCAGTGATGTTAATTAGCTGAAAATGTTTTTGGCAGAAGTGACTGATAGTAACACAACCTCTCATGCCCCTTGTTTACATGCTAGCTTTTCCCGCCTTAGGTCAACACAGGATATAGTTATAGATTGTTCCTTATTGTTAGGTGTGTTCAACAAAGATCGAGAGGCAAAGACATTACAGTAAAGGAAAGTGCTTACAGAATCTAACTATGATTATCCATCTTCATCATCCTTTAAGGAGCATGGGCATCTTTCATTTTTAAGCATCAGACTTTCCACTCCCTGTTATCTTATACACCAGCAAAGGGTACATCTTTCACCATCTTACGATGCTGTGACTGCAGCCATTCCCCAACTCTCTGTGAATGGTACTCATAGCCAATGATCAAATCTTTGATCAGTGGTCATTTGCCTATTAATGATCAAGAAACGGACCTTTTCAGTCATTATACAAATGTACCGTTCCTCCCGTCCAGATGAGTCAAATCAGCTTTTTGGGACCTGCCGCAGAGGTTTGTTGGTGGTATTATTTACTTAATGGGAAACTTGTGAAAGTTCCAACAGCTGTCTCAGTTGGATGCACTGATTCTGTACTTCCATTAGTTCAGCCTCAGCCAAGCAAGTGCAGCACAATCCTGTGAGTGTGCACAATTAATTAAATTGATTATTCCACTCTTTTATTTCTTTCAGAACCTCAAAGTAAAAGGTCCTAAAGACTCCAAAGTCTGTACAACAACTAGTTCAATGGAGGGTAAGTTGGTGTTTGCTTGTATCTCTATGCGTGTGTGTGTGTGTGTGTGTGTGTGTGTGTGTGTGTGTGTGTGTGTGTGTGTGTGTGTGTGTGTGTGTGTGTGTCTCTGTCTAGGCTGGATTGGTGTTTTAAGATTCCAGCCCTGCCTCTTCTTCTTGTGTATGCAGTGGTGAGCTCTGGGAGGCAAACTGGTGCATGTGTGAGTCTGCTCTCTCTCTCTCGCTCTCCCTCTCTCTCGCTCTCTCTCTCTCTCTCTCTCTCTCTCTCTCTGTGCCTGAGAAAGGAGGCAGTGAGCAGGAGTGTAGAGTGAGGAGAGGAGAAGAGGGATATGGAGGTGCTTCTGGTCCTCAGACTGTGTTGTAACTGCACATACGGTAACGACTGCATGTTATGAGCTTCCCGCTTTTTGACATCGGGTATCTGTTAGGACATCTACAGCTTTTACGGCGCTTATGATAGACTGTGTGGAGGCAGTTATTAATTAGCTGTCAGACTGACGTTTGGACTTTTGTGCTCACGCTTGCTGAGGAATTTTGCTTTTTCTGAACATTTGCATGCCTGTGATGAGCTTTTTGAGTGATGAGCCTCTGGAGTGTGGTGTTCACTCAGTCATATACGACTGTCTTTCGATCATATAGAACATACAATAGAGAGCATCTTCAAAATGTATCTGTCTGTTTACAAGCTGGGCACGTTCAGTCTGTATAAGGACTGCTGGCCCCAGGCTGCTCCTCGTACAGAATACTTATCTCAAGAGGATCGGAACGTGTGTGTGTGTGTGTGTGTGTGTGTGTGTGTGTGTGTGTGTGTGTGTGTGTGTGTGTGTGTGTGTGTGTGTGTGTGTGTGTTTGAGAGGTTGTCTGTCGCGGTACGTGCCTGTACTCTGCTGGCGCCTTGGTAACTTCGGCCGTTTTGGGGATTGCGTTCAGTTTGGTGGGTAGAGCTGTAGACGGTCATTAGCAGATAAGATGAGTAGACTGTGCGACTCTGTCGGGCTGAGAGTGGCTGGGTGAGTGTTCATTCTTCAGATTTCAGTGGTATGTACCTGTGAAGTGTCTGTTAATTTATGCATTGCAGATGAGGAATAATCAACCTGTCCCAGTTGTTTTATTCTTTCTTTTCTCATCATTCCTGTTTTAGATGATTTTAAAATGACGTCTTTGGTTTGCTGTAGTTTCACATGGCTGCTATGTGTCATGAAACTAGTCTCATATGCCCTTAACAATCAGGGTGTGTCAATACCCAAGGCACTTCCTTTGATTGCTGTTTATATTACAGTACATTAATTACCTGGTGGGTCAGCCGAGGGGTTTCTCTACCTTAACTTTGCAACAAATGCCTCCTCTATCTACTCTCTTTGTTTCTTTTATTATTTTCCCCTTGTTTCTTTTCTCTGCTCAATCAACTTTTTTTTTAACTTTCCAAAGTATTTAACAGGATCTCAGCTACAGTAAATGGCTGATAGGTTGATAGAAACACAAATACCTGCTCAAACAAGAATCTGATATATTTTAAATGTAAATGGGGACTCATGTCCTACACCATGACCATTTTCTCACTTTCTCTTAATCCTTCTTTATTTCCTTCTGTGTTATCAGTTCTGTCCTGTCCTTCTCACCCTCCTTCACAGGCTTATGGCTGGCATTGGTAGCTGAGAGTTTTGCCAAAATACTGAGGCCTGAAACCTGGCAGTCCTAACTGAGGACTAAAAGTCCTGTCAAACACTTCGCCCACATGGTCAAGCACCTCGTTAGCAAAGATTAACTATTTGTCCATCAGCCAAGTCATCAAGGCGACCTTGGAAAAACGACCAGTCAGGCACGCCTCACTGGGACAGGACATCGACTTCCAATAATCCCCCCCTCTCTATCTGATTCTCACTCTCTCTTTGTGTCTTCATCCTCCCTCGTCCTGACTTTTGACTAGACTTTTAACTCGTCCTTGTCTGTAAAATACATCCAAGTCAGATACTTCACATGATGTGGAGTCAAAAAGTGATGATGCTTAATCCTGCGTTCGGAGAGAACATGAGTAGATTTCTGTCTACATTAGCATTCAGGTGGCAATCCTTAATCTGTCTTTGTATTCAAGAGAGTATCTTCATTATTCAAATCTCTTGTATATAATTATTATGTTTGCATGGTTGAAAAACTAGAGGAAAACGAGACGAGAAAAAGAAAGAAGTAAAGTTTGAGATCTCTGAGCTTCCTTGATAGGTTCATCCTTAATAGTCTTGGACCTATCTTACATAGTATTGCAAATAGACTTGACTTGACTCTAAAGCAGTAAAATGTGATCTTGAGTTTAAAACAGCCTCTGATTGAAACTTGTCATGTAAAAAAAATTCTGGTTGCATGCTTTGCCGATGGCTTTGATGACTTTTTATTTAACCCCAAAATAATCAAAATGTGTCTAATTTTTCATAGTTTCCTGATAAATGAGTATTAATCATTGATCAACTGTGATATTTAAATGCGCAGTACTGGTATATGACGAATACTGTACAGCCTGAATATTATTGGTTCAGACCGACTCGGATTGATTGCAACGTCTGTCCGTGTTTATAAATTAGATCACAGTTACCTGCAAACCTTTGCTAATCTGTGTGAAAGTGACTGCAGTCGAATTGCAACAATTGTTGGAGACAGGTTGCTTGCCACAATGTGACCTGTGCAGTCGCCCTGTGATCCAAGGAGTTTGACGGTGTCCCCTGTTTTAGCTCCAGCTATACTTTGCGTTTTGCGGTTATTCGGAACATGCTACACTGCATGTTAGCATGCTAGCATTAGCTTTTTGCTCAGATATCGTTTTGTCGTGCGACACAACATATGGCACAAAAAATACAGCAGCTTACTGACACAAACTGTACAAAACCTGGCACTTGTGCTTAAGTACTTATACTCAAGTCATCCTGAAGTCATCTAATCCTCCCTGCATTGAAATGAATACAAAACTGCCAACATACCGCACACACAGACACACACACAACAACTTAGATATTCACTGCCCTTGCAGTCAATACAGACTCTGTGGTAAATCCTCCTGGAGGTATCAGTATTGGTTCACTGATCCATGACCCTCAGTGGAGGCGGCATTAATGACCAAACGTTGGAGAAACTTCAAAGAGCAACTGCAAGTCCCTCTCAAAGTCCCTCTATACACTCCATGTGGGCCAGTGTATATTTTAAAAGCAGAGGGTGTGCGTAGAGCGTTAATATGACGTGTTTCATCAGTAGATCTGATAATAGTCACTGTAGGTTTCTGCTCTCGTGCTAATTTCGTAAGTCGCAGGCAGAGGTGTGGCGGAAAGACTAAACACTTACAAGCATCCGAGTGACAGAACAACGCTGTACATATAAAGAGAGCGTTATTGAATACTTTAAATAGATAAAGTTTAAAATTCAAATAGAAGTGTAGCTTTGGCTGTAGATCTCTCTGTGGGAGCAGAGCACAGTCGGTGTGGGGCAAGCTTGCCTGCATACAGAAGACACATCAGTCCTCTCTGTTTCACTGGGCCAGCTTTCCTTCTTCACTTTAGAAATAAGCTGCTTTAACTCTGTTTTCACTTGAATAAATGGAGGTTAGCATGATCAATAAGTGGAACTTTTTCAGATAATTTCACAATGTTTATGACCTTGTGGGAATTTTTTTTTAATTGCATTCGCTCAGTTTCTAGATCATGAGCAGAGGGGTGTTACTGTGCTTTATCGAATGTGTAGTGTGATATTATATTTGTTATTATGAGACCTTGAGGTAATTTAGGCATTTCCTTACATGACTTGTTTGCTTCTTCTCTGTCTCCTCTTAGAGGTTCTCATGTCTGCCATCTTTCCTCCTGCGTATCTGTCATTTGTTTTTCTTTTATTTCTCTCCATCCTTCACTCTGCCCTGTCTGTGGGAGTGTGTCACAGAGAGCTGTCATGTATGTCGGCTGCTGTGTTCACACCACCTTAGCAGCAAAGCCTTCCCCAGGGAATCTAGCCAAGTGCGGTGATACAGGCTTAAACTCTGACTGAGGGGCACTGAGGGTGGCATGTTGGCAGGAGGCAGTCTTATTGCACTTTTTATAGATGCATCCGTCTGCATGTGTTGTTTGTGTTTGCTTTTATGTCCATGTCTGAATATGTACAGCTGTTAAACTGATGAACAACAGTAGCACAAACCTTTGCTGCCCCCATATTGAAATCAGTGTTTTACTTGACCCCCCCTACAAGGCTATTTATGATCAAGTGTTTTTCTTGCTTCAGCAGTGCTTCAGGCTGGAACCTCGTCGTCATTAGGCTTTAATGTTAACCTAAGAATCATCAGCAGTCAGACTGTAAGAGCTGCGTTTAGCTCAGAGTAACCAAAGTGGACATTTTTGTCCTCGTGTGAGCGGTGAAACTGTGACCTACTGTGTGTGTCTGCATGTATTGATTTGCCTGTAAGCAACACTGACTCAGAGCCCTTCTCTTCTCTCTCCCACAGCTCTCCTTTACAAGCCGATTGACCGTGTTACCAGAAGCACCCTGGTTCTTCATGTGAGTACACAGCTTGCACTTGCATGGCTTTCAAGGATCAGCTGAATCTAAAGCTGTTCTGGCAGAAATGTCTTACTTCTAGTGTTTTAGGGTGGAGAAAAGACTGAGAACTGTGTCAAGATAAAAAACCAAAAAATTATAATTGGAGCAGGTTGCAAAGACATCCCTGAGATTAAAAAGACGTGCAAGAATTAAGCCTAAAGCCTGCTTTTTGATGTTTATCGCTGAGTCCTCTCAGTCCAAATCAGCCTACCTCCTTGGAAGAGAAATAATGGTGTAGAAAGTGCCAGCGAAGCAAAGCAGAGATCTCTGGATGTGTCCAGTGTGGTCGCTGTAGTGTAATGCATGATCAGGTTTGCATGAAAGCTGACAGTAAGACGCTCTGTGCATCCAGCATGAGCATGTGTGTCATGTTCTTGTCACGTATGCAAACAAACAGAAGAAAATTGGTTGATGTTAATCTGGGAGGAAAGTAAGAAAAAGTATCTTTGACAGAAAAAACCGAGACACAAGATTGTTTTACTGTTTGTAAGGAGTCTGTGTTTGTGCAGCGCGATGACGTTTTCGAAGAGAAGATGAAAATTAATCTGAATCTCTGCTCACAAAGGTCAGTTGCTTTGTGGTAAATACATTTTTAGATGATTGAATGTACTTTCACAGGATTTGCTGAAACACACTCCAAAGGACCACCCGGACTTCCCCCTCCTGCAGGACGCTCTGCGGATTTCTCAGAACTTCCTCTCCTCCATCAATGAGGAGATTGACCCTCGCAGGACTGCTGTTACTACACCCAAGGGCGAGGTCTGTGTGTGTGTGTTCTTACAACACGTCTTGTCAAGTATAGAGAACTTATGTTCATATCTTTAGAACATTTGTCTTCACTTTTCCTCTCATATGAAATATTATTAGGTACTTTGAGAAAACTATAATAAATGGTTGCATTGCTTTAAAACTCCAAAAGGAACATTTAAGTTAAAAACAAAGACATGCACGTCTCTGTAAAGCAAACTGTAATATATATGTTAATTTAGTAAGTCAACTTATTAATCCACAATCTCAACGATGTTTCGATTCACAGCAACAGTTAACACAGAGTTCTGTTACAGGCCCGTCAGCTGGTGAAGGATGGCTTCCTGGTGGAGGTGTCGGAAAGCTCCAGGAAGCTACGGCACGTCTTCCTCTTCACCGATCTGCTGCTCTGTGCCAAGATGAAAAAGACGGCTGTGGGGTGAGTCCACCTTCATCCTCTGACAGTGTGAAAAGCTGTGAGCGCGATTATCGTTAACGTCAGCCCCCCTATCCCCATTCCCATCTGAAAAATGCTAAAATGATGTGCGAAAGCCAGAGAGTGGAACGGGGACGGGGCGTGGATGGTGCGCCACAAGAGTCGCTTATTAATTCTCGGGGCAGAGAAAAATGCAGGGTGACACGGCTCTGTCACAGACTGTAGGTATATTCATTCGAGGCTTAAGGAGCTTTGGGCGGTGATGGCCTCTTTCTTTCATTTGCTCCCTGTCACAGCAACGTACTTTCATTAAATCTTCAAATGTGCACAGATGTAGTGAAGGGAAATAATTCAAAATCACCCAGCCACTGATCTGAAGTTCCAAAAACTCTGAGCGAGTCAGCTCAACAACTTCTAAATGATGAGACTCAGTCTGGATAAAACGTGTGCTATTTCAAAAATTTCCATTGACAAGCACAAGCCTCTAAATGGAGGGCGTCAGCGATGTTTTTACATATACATTTCACGGTGTCACTTCACTCTGTCCACCTTGCACAGTTTAGGATGTTAAGCTACGTTAAATAAGCTACTGTTTTATAAATTGATAGAAATGCCAGTGTTAACATAAACATTTATCTGCTTCATAACAATGCATTTTATTATTTAGCTCAAGGCTCATGAAGCCTGTTGAACTGGGTTCTGCCTCTTTAAATATCCACGCTTTTTCGTCCTCTCTGTGTTTCTGCCCGTGTGTCGTGCAGTTTTCCAACCCGGCGTGCAACAGAAAGGATCACTTCGGAAAGACGCACTCCCTCTCTGATTCCAGCTGTGGCTAACACGGTGGTGTTTGAAGCGTCGGTAACAAAGAGAAAGACTCGCAGGCATTTTTGTCTGTATTGTTTTGAGCAGTGCAGCAGAGTAGCAGATCTACACGCAGGACAGAGTTATGCTAAATGTATGAATAATAAAAACATTTTAAAAAAGAAGACAAAAGGTGTAAGTAGAAACTGAAGGTGTTGTGTTTCAGGGTGCAAGCTGAGCAGGCGTTAAAGTAAAGAGAGTTGACAGAAAAAGATCGCTCATGTTTGTGTTTGTGTGCGCTGCTGCGTGTCAATCTTTGACACATGTCAGTAGATCGAGGGTCACGCTTACAGCACCGACTCGCCTCCCCTTCGTCTGATTGGTGCCTGCTTTGGTTGACATTCACCGTTTCTCTGTGTCAATTGCAGCCGCCCCTCACTTGGAGGAACACATAGTGTTGCCATAACTACCAAACCTGTAAATGGGGCTATAATATGATCTGGGTTGTTATCTCAGTGTGCTGCCTACAGCCTACGCGCTTACACGCAGAACAGAGCAACCATCCAGAAACTCAATCACCTTGACTTTAGTCACTGAGGAGCCCTAATCCCTGCCAAAAGCTGTGATTATCTGCACTCTATTATTTTAGAATGAGTCAGACTTACGATTGCCCGCTGCACGTTCTGCACCTTGGATAATTCATCATTTCTTTATATATGCACCACCTTTGCTGTCTGGCATTATGATTTGATATGATGATTTATTCATTTCCTTCTCAGTCATGTATCAAACCTAGCTCCACCCCCTTTTCTTTGTGTTTCTCTAAGTCTGTGTCAGAGTCTGATTAGAACAGAAACAAATCGGTGGTCTGTAACATAAAAGGACTTCCCGAAAGACCCAAGAGCGCGTAAACAAGAAGGGCTTGATAATGGAGTGGGTGGGTGGGGCAGAAGATCAGGGGACCATAATCTGCAGCGGGAGGATGTAAAATTAATGTACTTCGTTAATGAAGAAATGACAAAGTCCTTCTGGTGGGAGCCGATTGCATCACTGCGAAAGCTTTGAGTGGGAACATGAGACTAAACACGGAGCAAGAGTCCTTCGTCGACATGGCTGAACAAATCTTTGAAGTTCCAGTTAAAGTGCACGCCTGAAAAAAAAACGAGTGCAGTAAATAAAGTAGATAAACTGTGTTTCGAGTAGCTGCTGCACTGAGATCAGTAAAATCTCATTTGTCATTTTACGCGTGTTCCCTGTTTTGCTCAAGGACATTTTAACATGCAGGCCAGAGAAGCCAGAGTATTGAACCACTCCCAGTCCACAGTGGCTCCACCTTTCAGGTGGTTGTAGTGGTGTGAGTGCAACATGCAGAGGAGAATATCACAGAAATGAGAACATTAAAACTGAGTTTGATTGCTTGATTTGATTGTTTAAATAAATGCATATAGTTGACAGTAAGTTTTATATGTAGGATGCTGGTAGTGTTAACACATGCTTGTTTAGTATGGATTCATTGTGACATCGAGCTGCTTAAACTAGCCGTCTGATGAAGGTATTATGTCGTCGATGAGTCGACTGTGCAGCACTCAGAAATGTTAATTAAAATCTCATTAGAGACGGTGCACATTAGTGTCCTCAGCCCCTGTGGAAATAATGTTGTGCATTCATCATTTTTATTAATGTGACTTTGAATGAGTGGGCTATAAAGAAATGAGGTCAAATGAGCACACGTTTGAATAGAGAAGTGTAACATTTGTTAGTGTGGCTTCAAATTGTAAACCGGTTTGCTTCGGTTTTGTGCGTCCATTCAGTTCAGTCATGATTGAAAAAGAGAAAAAAATTTTTTTTTTTAACTATTTTGACTAATTCTGTTTCATCTCTTCCATTTCCATTCTTGCATCCTCCCATCCTCTCTCTGTCTCTCTGCAGTCGCCATCAGCAGTATGAGTGCAAGTGGTACATCCCTCTAGCGGACTTAACTTTCCAAACCCTGGACGACTCGGATGCTTGCCCGAGCATCCAGGTCCTGCCAGAGCACGAGATTGAGGAGATGAAGATCAAGATCTCGGTCTTAAAGAATGAGATACAGAAAGAGAAGGTAATCCTTTTTCCTGGCATTTGGAGCCCAATTCAATGTATTCGCGAGGCTTACAATGGCTTATTCGGCCATCTTGGGTTTAATTTTGAGATGATCCAGGATTAAAGAATAAAGGGGCAAATTCAGGGTTTGGAGCCCAGTTCTAGACAGCTTTAGAGTAAGAAAAGTTGCTGGTCCTGTTATGAATAACAGGAGCTTTTTGATGTTCATCTTTAAATTCTAACATATGCATAAAACAAATACATTTGAGGCCAAGAGCCACACAATTAGGAGAACTTGGTTATTTTAAAAGCAGCTTCTTTTAGTTTTAATCATCAGCTGGATTCTTTTTATTTAAGAAATAAAAATAAATAAGAAGTAAATCAGAAGTTCGGTGTCATGTCAAAGCTTTGTGACCCTTTACTTCATTTTTTATTATGGCCTACGCAGACTTTACTAAATGAATTGTGACTATTGTGTGAGTGAATACAAGCAGCAAAACAAGTCCAAGTATGAATAATAAACATCCTGAAACTGAGGACAGCTGCCGTTTCCTTGAGTATGAGTGGCAAAAGTGCTGATCCAGATTTAAACTGTGACTTGTGTGTGCCACGGTATGAGTCTGTTTTGTTTAGCACATGCTGAAATGCTAAGTTGTCATTTTGAGGTTGAAATAAAAGATGTTACAAGTACACAGTAATCCACCCCCGCAGCCATAGCTGCGTTTAAAGGAGCGCAGAGTTCCTGTTATTCCCCTCTCACGGCGTTAAAACTCGCCCACCCGGAGCACAGCGAGTGACCACGGCTGGTATGTGGAGTCGCAGGAGGCGAATGCCGGGAGAGATCGAGCTGATTGTATCCAGGCAGGCTCTGACTCACCGCTTCCTGGTGAGGGTTGGGGCTGTGTATGAATTTGTTTTCCTCCAATAACGTCAAGAAACTGCTCCATGAATTATATATAAAGACTCTCACAGTATGGGGCTTGCTTTAAGCAGCTTATAGACACTTTGCTGGAAAATATGAAAGATTTCAATAAGGCAACGCTGAGTAGTCCTCACTTTAAAGTTCAGTTTGTATGTGGTTAAAAATATAGACGAGTGGTTTGATTTTGTCATGACGTACAGAAGAGAAGCAAAAGAAATCCAACTCATTAATAATAGAAATTCTGGTGTTATTGAAAGATCTTCACTTGAACAGTTAATGAATTTTACGTAGCCACCTCCAACCAAACGCAACCAGACAGGGTTGAGTCTAAAACCTAAGAGGTCCTACAAGTGTGATCTCTGCAACCGCTTTGCAGATGTAACACAAACCACTAATCAGCTGCAGTTTAATCTTTCACGCCCCGCTTTTCATACGAAGAGGCGACAATAGAAACCTAACCAAAGACAGGTCACTAAATCTCTTGGTTTAAATGAGGAACTAGATTTTACTGCATATGTTTTTCTTCTTTGTGCGTTACTCTCTTGTTCTCTGTAACTGGTGCACTGCCTTATGATTATCATGCTCTGGTTAAATTTAAACTCGACAAACACTGAGGGACAAAAGGGCACCAGCTTCTGACGTCTTCATACGTTCACACCCTGTTCAGCCACTAAACTTGTTCAGATTTGCCAATCCGTGTTGTTAGGTAGCCAATACTGGAATATGACACTTCGGAGGTGGAAGTTTGGTGTTACGTCTCTGTGAAACTCCCCGACGGAGACTTGTCTGCGTTGGAGGCTTTTTGTTTTTGTAGGCTAAACATGACTGTGCCGTACAAATAAAGATGTTTTAACTGTCAGTCATGTTGTCATTAAAATAACTTAATGAGATCCATAAAGCTGACTGTACACTCAGTGTGACTGTCTTTTTTTCCATCATGTCAGGCGTCTGCTACATCTGCTTCATTCAGTTTCTTAATGGAAAAATACAATTCTAGCTGAAGTAGCTCCAGAAATTTAGTCTCACAGTAAAACCCAATGTTTAAAGAAAATGGATACAAAAGGAAATCAGTCTTATAACTGAGGAAATTGCTGCAAAATCCTCGCACATTGAAATCTGAAATGCCAGAGATGATAAAGAAGAGTACCGACAACGCAACTGGAACCGCACTGAAGCTTTAACACAGGCTGGGTTACACAAGGAACCCAACATCAAGGGCAAGGGCTCTCAAAGTCAGACCATATCACCCCCCCAATCACCCACCCCCCACCTTGCACCTCGACCCTCATTTTGTAAGTCACACTGAATCTAAAAATATAAGCGTCTTCTGTATGTGTCAAGACCTGAGATGAGTCAGAGGAGAAATACAAGTCTCACTGTCTCAATCAGGAAAAGATTGTGACTGTTTCGGATGCTGCACAGCAGTGCTCTGTGTTTTACTCTCTTTTACTTTAATGAGTACATTTCAGCAATCAGCGAGATTCAAACAGTCTCTTTTCCTGTCCGTGTCCTTGTGCAGAAAGCACCGAAGGGCCAGAGCCGCGTGGAGCGTCTCAGGAAGAAGATGAACGAGCAGGAGTCCTGGTTGCTCCTGCACTCCCCCACCATCCCCTTTCGCATCCACAACAAACATGGAAAGGTATTCTGCCCATTCTTAATCTGTTACTGGCTCCATTTGTGTCACTGCACTGTGCAGGTTTCACCACTAGAGGGACACATTTTACTTTCAAAGAGTCTGCTGTTACAGATTTAAAGTTTGAATCCCCCAAAACAGCATCAGAGAATTTCCCATCATTCAGATTGATGTGTGCTAGTGAGGATTTTTTCCAGCTATTTTGGTTGTAATTGCTAACTGTGTGTGTGTGTGTGTGTGTGTGTGTGTGTGTAGAGCTACCTGTTCCTGCTATCCTCTGACTACGAGAGGTCAGAGTGGAGGGAAAGCATTCAGAAACTCCAAAAGAAAGGTACGATTGTGTTCACTTTTCAAACACTGCTCCACAGAAACATAAAGGTTTGACCCCCACCTCCCTATATGATGTTTATGATATTTATTTCCTTTCTTTTTCTTCCAGACCTCCAGTCATGCGTGTTAAGTTCTGTAGAGCTCCAAGTATTGACCAGCTCTTGTTTCAAACTCCGAACAGTCCACAACATTCCTGTCACCGGCAACAAAGACGGTAAGAAACACGAGCAGGAACATTTTTGTCTCCCTCTCCCTCTTCCCTCTGCTTTGAATTTAACTTCACACAAAAGTGCCTGTTACACTCTGAGCACTAAAAAAACCACATAATAAGTTAGGGGGGCCTTGCAGGAGATAAATTTAGGCTACAATATGTTTCTCATCTAGCTCGGAGCAGTCAGTGCCGCGCAGTGTGTCGGTGGCGTGCTCGCAGCTTCTATATGTTTGTTTTTTCCTCCCGATCTCCTCATTGCAGCCACTCTCAGAGTCTTGGGGGGGGGGTGACATTAAAGCCATCTGCTCCATCTACTCTGATCTGCTCAGATGGCAAGAGGGTCTCTCACACAAAGACAATACACATGCACAGTCACAGAGCTCTTACACTGAAAGGCACGCTGTCCTGATGTTTTTGTGTCGTGTTTCCTTTCTGTGCATTAGAATCTCTGTGTTTGATATCCAATAGATTTAAAGTCATTTTCAGATGGATTTTAGTTTTGTATTTTCAAAGTAGTCAGCAGAATGACAAGTGACACTTAAGTGGTAGCATATTTTTTGGTGTGCTTTACCCCACGCCCCCAAACGAGGTGTTTTATTTGACTGAAACTGAACTTTATGTCTGATTCTGTTTTTTTTATTTAACATTTAACACGGCATCAGGCTGTCAAAATAACAGATAAGTAAGTCAGACGTGACAGTACATAACACCACACATGGATACACAACATGACATACAGACAGATTACTGTTAAAAATGCATTTGCACCACTTGACATGGTTTTAATAAGAGAATTAACTCTGTTTGCTTTCCCTAAACAGGTTCTTCTCACTGCTTTGTTGGACTTTTCCTTACATGTTATCTTCCTGCTGCTTTCTGTGAGAGCTTACTGAGATTCCTGTGTTTTAAATCAGACTTCAACTCCTGCGTTGTCTTAGACTTTTGACC